AAATCAAAATAAATGGATTTAACAACGACATAACAATGTTAATGTTATAATGTACGAACGTGTGCGGTGGATGAAGGCATGTCATAAAGATAAAGTTATATTATTTAAAAACTCATAAACACTCATCATTCCGGTATGTCCGTACATTATGAAAGATATTATACGAATTCGGTTTTTGTGTAACCTTTGTTCCAGAAAGATTTGCAACGAAAAGGTAGGTATAGTTTAACTTTTTGGCTTGTTGTACTACGGGTATAATGTCACCTCCTTCACGAGCACCGCGCGTATTTGACTTTTGCAAACTTTCTAAAATATAAGATATATATATATATATATATATATATATTTGTTTATTTTATTTCAACATATATGTCTTTTATATATATAGTGGTGGTTTGTATTGATACACGCATTGAGGGGAAAAAAAATTAGACGATATAAAGTTCGCAAAGTCTCGGAAAGCAAACGTACGTTTCCGTTCATTGTCGTCGTGGTTGTGATTGCTAACGAATCGGGTATGAAAAAAATAAAACTGAAAAAACCATTGCAAACAGTCTGTGTTTGCTAAACGAATCAAACCGAATATTTCAAATCGAATAAAATAACGGGCATCCAGCCAATGAATGAATTGCGTCAACAAGAATTATTTCTCATTCAGCACGACAAAGTTTTCGGGGTACCTATTATATTATGCTACTACAATAAATTCGTGAATGAAATAAATTGTAWAATATTATAATATTATTTCTAACCTGATTTTTTTCGATTCGATTTGATTTTTATTAAATGATAAAGATTAAAAATTAAATATTTTATGGTGTACATTATGATCAAACCTCGTGGTATTTTGACCTCAATAACTCTTTAATGTGATTTATTGGTTTGTAACTGGAGAAGGGTATTCAAAAAACAATATTTTCTTTATACRTAAAATTTTATAAAAACGAATAAAAAAGAGATCAAAAGCAAAAAAAATGTATWGTACATATAATCCCCAAGAAAAAACCTAACGGTGARAAAGCCAAGTTCCAAACTCCCTCCCAAAAAAGTCGGCCATTCAAAGTAGTAAAATCTACATTGTGGCCAAGTATGGTATTTTGGTATTTTTTAATTCATAACCTCACTGCACTCCTACATTAAAGARCAACACTCCTCTTTTTTTTTGTATTGTTTAACACTTGACAAGTTTCTGAACGAATCATAAACTAGACTTGACCGCAATGTAGATACCCCTTACTATGATAYGCTGTCTTTTTTGAGAAGAAATCGAAACCTTTTTCTTTTTTCTGAGTTCTCTTCTCCCCATCACCCATGTACTTAAGTCATAAATGACTACATTCGATAATGGCGTTTTATACCTCATTCAGAAACTGACCAAATGTTAAACAATACAAATAAAAGAGGAGTGTTGCTATTTAATGTAGGAGTGCAGTGAGGTTATGCATTAAAAAATAACTGACTTGGCCACAATGTRGATTTCACTACTTTGATAGGCTGACTTTTTTGGAAGGGAGTCTGGAACTTGGCCTTTTTTCACCGTTAGGWTTTTTGGGGGGGCATATCATTATTTTTGCGGGCTTCAGCATCGTGGACGAAATGGTTTTTTAAATTTTTTTTTGTGTTATATGTCGAAGACTTTCTTATTACCGTATTATAACGCTGTTTGAAAGAAAACGTATATGCGTGCTAAGAGGACGCCACACCCGCATGTGTTGTCTCCGTCTTACAAACGTATAACATAGCAAAATCTGTTTAGCGYGGGACAACTTTTCTYYCTCAATATTTATARTAGAATTTTCAAAATTTCACAATGCATAGGTAAGAACTTTATCTGTGTCATAGCGTCGTTATTTTTTTGATTACACAAACCAATAATTTTAAGTAATTTAATGAAAAAATAAATGTATTTTCTTAAGCTWATAACTTTAATTATATTTATGTTATCAAAAAAATAACGACGCTATGACACAGATAAAGTTCTTACCAATGCGTTGTGGAATTTTGGTAATTCTACTATAAATACAAAGGGAGTAAAGTTGTCCCGCGCTAAACAGATTTTGCTATGTTACACGTTTGTAAGACGAAGACAACACATGCGGGTGTGGCATCCTCCTAAGCGCGTCACTTCATACGTTTAGAAATACTCTAAAATATACAGTTATCGKTACTTTAAGCATTCGTTATTGATAGTTATTGGCATCTAATCTGCTCTTTTCCCAAATCAAATTGCGAATAATTTGATTAATAATAAAACAAAATCAGTGTGACCGTAAAAAAAACAAAATTATTTGGTGCCAATAACTACCACCCTACCAATTACTATGAAGCATATCTTATATTATTGTAAAATATAAAGTACCTCCTTAATATGTTAAATTTATAAGTGTAATATATTTATACTAATTTATTTTATCTTTAAACCATATGATAAATCTTTCCATAGGAATGTTATTAAGATTTATTAATAATTTATTTAATACAAATTTAAATAAATATACCTATTTCATTTAAAATAAATTCATGTTTAAGAAAACTAACACGTATAGCTTCAACATCGTAATAATGCATCGATCAATTCAATTTAATGTTGTTCATCCATATGAAATATGATTTGAGTTCTAAACTACTTAATTTATATTTAAATTTAACAGCTATAAATAATTTTTCTTACAGTTTTATGAAGAKTATTTAAATTATAATAAGAGCTTAATAAGAAAGTTGAAAAAGAGTTAATAATCGTTTCAATGGAAATGTGAAATCCTAACAAAATTAATTTTCATGAATCCTTAAGAATATTTGTATATTATCATCTAAATAAAATAGATTCACATAACGTAAGTGGTTATTTGAAAATTTTACAAATTAACARATTGTATCAGCACAAGTTTATCATAACGAAATTCCAATATTTATCATAATATGTATAATATTGTATATACTAGATATCAAAACACATTTTTGAAGAAAAAGTAAAAAAATGCGAATTTTTTATCTAACCAAGGTAACATAGTTATGAAAATGTCAAACAATATGAGTATATACAACTTAATTTTAATGAATTTTAATTTAAACTATTAATATTATTGATGAATTTGTATTTAAAATTATATTTACATATGAATAGGGTGCTTTTCTCAAAATACATCRGCATTCGCAACTCACTAATGTTGGGGTTGAATCTACTAATGGAGATTTTGTTTGGTGACAGTGTTCAATCATTTCTTATAATACTATAATATAGTATGATCAATGTTTAAACGAATAAATACTACATATTATAGTTAATATAAAAACACCATGATACCTCCCTGGTAGTTTTTAATTGAACACCCAACGAGTGAAATCAATTTATTCAATTCAAAGAGTATAATGATTATATGTAATAGGTACCTCGTCTAGAGAAATTCGATTAAGTGTTTAAATGCAGTAGATACTCAGAACCCAACGTACACTATAAAACGGTAAACAAAAATACATGGTATAATAATTATATGCAAATTGACATTTTGAATTTTACAATATTATAAGCCAGTGTGAGGTATTAAAATTGCATATACAATGCGCCGTGTTAAGGAAAATCGGATATTAAACTATCAAAATTATAATTATTTTTTTTTTGTCATTTCTTCAGGACTAAAGATGAGTAAAGTTTAAGTATTAGAAAAGGTTAAATAACGGAAAATACAAGTACTAATACTATCCTTCGAAACTCAGTTTGTATATTACAAATTTGTGACCACACCAATTCGCTTGTTAACAGAAACTTTTGAGTGTATACTACATTCGTCTTCCAGATGTCTTACCATTGAGTTTCGATACAGAACATTKAGTTACTATTTTGCGAGAGATGGACAAAATATAACAAAAACTGATTACATTAGAATATGTTTTACCAAACACTGAAATAGTGTAAGCCATCCATTTTTATATGTGCGGATTTTAATCATTCTACAAATACGATTTTACGATAAGAAATGTATGTGTAGTCACTGATAATTGAGATTTTAGAAACAACAAACAGTAATGGATTATCGGCGCAATACCTATTATGTTTAAATTTATAAGTGATTAGATTAAATCGTATTTATATTATATACCTGCATACTACGGTTYGGTTAGTAGCTAAATACAAATATATAATTATTAACATTCACATTAAATCATTGATTATCAATTTTATATTTTTTATCGACAATCAAATACCAAATGGCAGCTTTCTTCATTATTTAATTATCGCTCTATTTATTCCAATGCATGCACCAGAAAGTACAATAAGATTATAATATGCATATCTCTTGTTAATTTCAATCGTAACTATACTATAATAGCGGTTTTTTTATTATTGTCGTTATAAAAATGTCCATTTAGCCTCGGCTTATGTTTCATCTGCACTGAGACTGCGTCACGACTATTTTTGAAAATAACTATATTTAGAGAAAAAAAAAATGGAATAAACACGTACTTTCCCATTTGATAACTACACTATTACATTTTGATAATAATATTACTGTGTTTTCTTTAAGCACTGTTGCCCTAAGGTTGTAAAGCACGGATATTCTCAACGACTCAGGTCTTCGGGCACGTTCACGCCCTCCTGTCGACTATGGTTAACCACTTGTTACCACGATTATCGTACGATTTTCAGTATATTCGGTCACGTTCAGCTTACGATTTCCACTCAAAACTGACGAGGATGTTGTTATTTAAGAACTTGTTATGATAATAACATGAGTTGAGAATTTCTACTTGATCGTTTTTTAATTTAATTTTAATTCGCCTGCTTATCTTCCCCACTTTATACAAAGCACACCCCGCCGTAGTTTCCACAATTATATCTAATTTAAGTTATGAACTCTCACTTTCGTTCAATATACAGTACTATTTAATAGTTGATTTAAACTATCAGATACTCGATAGACCACGGAGGAACATTTTGATCGACATCACTGTTTCAGACAACCGACTTCTCGAAGGATATTAATTATAATTTCTTGGGCGTAATATTCTAGAACTCATAGTGAAACTCCATCACAAAGTTTTCTAAAACTTTGATTGTAATTTAAATTGATAAGGGGAAATTTCAGACGGTTCAAAGAATAGTATAATTCTATACGATTGCTGATTGCATAGCCAAATATTCAAACTTACTAGGTGATTATGTGATACGATTTTTATTAAATACAAAACAAATACACTAATTCAAAATATGAATTATGAACATTTAGTATAGTAATTGACTTAATATGARTAAACATTATACGCAAAATAACACATAAAAATTATTTCAACCTAACACACTACAACTGAGCTTAGGCTATAGGGTACTGGGTAATAATATAATTTATAATACTATAAACTAATATTATGTAAACATATTTGATATGAATACAAAATGACTAGTTCATTTAAAGGTGAACCAAAATAATAAGTGGTTTTAAGTTTAAACTTTAAACATCATAAAATTGCGTAATGCAACTGTACAACAATATATATATATATATTAGTTAACCCGTGGCAACATAGGCCATTGGGTGTAGGGAGGGTACTCTAGAGTTTTAAATTGGGTAGGTACACCAATATTGTTTCTACACTTATGTTGTAATTTATTATATTTCAATATTATTTAATGATTAAAAAGTATAATGGATTCTTGTTGCTATTTAATAATACATTGCAATATATTTTACCTAACGTAATGTTAATATAATAGTAAATCGTATAATATCCATATAACTATATAAGCATTATTATTATTCCATTTAATAATTTTTTTTTTGGTTTTGTAAAGTTTTAATACAGCTCATTACACAATAACTATATATGGTAAGTTATTGAAACGTTACTGAATAGAAAAAGTTTTAAAACGAAATTTCGTTTATTTCAAGTTTTATTTTTCATTAAAATATTAGTATTGACGCCAACACTCAAAAAATAAATGCAAATTTATACTATGTATATACATATTATTATGCACACAATTTGTATAGGTTTATATAAATGCATAAAAGTTTCGGACTTTGCGAGTGATGTGCCGAAATACGTAAGGCAAGATGGATTTTATGTTAAATAAACAAAATTAATAATTTGATTAAAAACCCCCAAAAACGGCTCAGAAATTCCATTTTACGAGATAAGTGTTTTTAAACAACAGCACATCGCCCAAAATATACTTCGTAAAAGTTGTCATAATTTTGATTCGTGTGCGCTTTTCGAAACAGGCTCGAAAGCTGGCGAGCTTTTCCGATTATTTCTCTGCAGCAGTTGTCGCTGTTGTTATACGATCGTCATAAACTACTCCCGAAACACATTCTTATAAGCAGACAACTTACTATATTATTTTAATGAAACTCGTCACAGCGTTTCGCTCGTATAAAATATATATATGTATTATTACGTGGAAAATATATCAAAATACGTAAGTGGGTTTTATTGCGCGGGTGCGAAGGGTATATTTGTAAGTGGGTGGATTAGAGCACTTGGAAGCAGCACGTTGTGTACCGTATGGATTTAATATCTGTTATCGATAAATTAATGCTTTACCGGTGGCATAACATTATATCGTATAATAGGTACTCACGTCGAACGGTCCTTTGATCAGAGGCCCTGCCTGGCCAATGTACAACGTGGACGCTGAGTCGAATAACAGTTCTACCGGATCCCTGACCACCATCACGGTTTGTGGTTCTATACACCTACCAATCAATCGCACGTACTCTCTGGTCACCTTCAAGCTCAGTCGTAYGTATTTCCGAATCTTCCACGGTACCGAAAACGAGGCCAAGACGTTTGACGACGATGAGTATTTGTTAACGTCCGTATACAGAAAGCTCACGTTCATCGCGCTCGACGACAATGGTACAACCTGCACGCCCAACTGAACCACCTGCAAGACACGAACGTCACGATTAAAAACAACGAATATAAAAAGCTATTTTGGATATTATTATTGTGTGATATTGAATCCACTATATGACTTAAAATATATTTTTTTTTATCGATATTACCTATAATTATGTGTAATTCTCAGATGTTATATTCTAATTAAAAAAAGTTAGTGGGCATACGGAGTATTATAAAAAAAATATTATCACAAAATATAATTTTATTGATTCATTTTGATATTCAACACACTAACACAGATATGCATTTATGATTGAAATCATATTCTGAAATCTGTGCTTATCGTCAGAAATCAGTAATTAAATTATTGACATTATTATACATCTTGAAGTATTAATCTAAAAYGAATTTTGCATAGTTTTAGAATTATATCAAATCATAAAATGTATTATATTATATCATAAATTCTGCAATTTTACATACAGTTTTCTTTAGTAAACATATTTCACCAAAATGCGCATTAATTTCGTGCATTATATRTAGTATACAATTATTTTATTAGCAKTTTATTTTTATTAATGTTTTCAAATTCTCATTTTACTTATTTAACATTATTATTAAGATAATAATACATTWATTTATGCACCAAGTACTTTTTTTTGCTATGTGTAACGTTGTTACAGAATAAATAAATTGCTTAGAATTATTAAAAAATACACACTTCCACGATTTTTCTAAATTGTTAATTTCATGAACCATTTATTTTTCSGTTATTCTTAAATGCATTATTTTATTCCAATCATTCTATCTAAGAAATTATTAAATAAAAAAAGTGACAAATGAATTACTGACTACCAACTATAGCAGAAAAATATTTTCCTTTCTTTTTATGTTCAATTTTCAACACCATAGCTTTTAGTTTCTTTACGAACTTCATAAACGTTTGAAGAATATTTTAAAAATATATTATAAATACGTAGCGATGACAAATTATACTTATTAATGTTTGATATGTTTAATATTTGACACTTTGTTTTTTTTTTATCGTGTCAACAACAAAGCTTTAATTAAAATCTCAATTAAAATTTAAGTACCAAATTATTTGATATTTTGCATTAGATCTTAATAAAAATTGTATAAATTGCCTACGTTTCAACTTTCATGTAATTATAAAACATATAATTAAAATAACCAAAAATATTAAARAAACGAAAAATTGAATTTTTATGTTTTTAGCAGGCAYTCAAATAGTTGAAATAAATATTTTTTAAATACGTGAAAATTAAGATTCGTTATGAACTAGTATATAATAATATTATCTTCAAAATAGATATTTTTATAAAACATGTATCATTAACTTACATTCAAACAATATTTTAGCTAACAAAATAGAAATGTAGAAATTTCAGAATTTTAGAGGACCAAAATCGATGCTGGTTTAGAAATTCTTGACGTCAAGAAATTAATTATTAAACACTACGCAGAACTGGTATTAAAAACTTATATTTCRTTTAAAGAAAAATCACTGTCAGAAATACAAATCAAACACGGATTTTTTTTTAAACACTGCTAATGTCAAAAGTTATTCGTTTTTCGAAAYGTTTTTTAAATCAAAATTTTTTGAAACATGAAATCAAATGTCGATAAAAGTTACGAATTAAATATTTTTAATCATATCTATTTATATTTTTAATTTTTCTAATCGTTTTACTTTCATTATTGTTTAATCAAGCAAATATATTCTTATTAATAGTTAAATATCATACAAAGTTCATACGAGTATTATGTGTTACTGTGTTAGCTATGTAAATTTATTCTAAGCATACTTATGATGAACAATTTATACCTAGTATAGATTAGGATTTTTAATTTTAATAATATACAAAATATATAGGTACATAACTAAAAATTGTAAGTAATTAATATGCACTACATTTGAATACATATGTATAGGTACTTATAGTAGTATATTATATTAATTAAATTTATAATTAACTCAAAATTACTTATCATCAAAAATAAAATAACTTTGTTTTGCATTTGCTAATGAACATTATTMGATTTTTACTTACAGCTTTGAACAATTACTCCACGCAACTTAATACAATACTAATGATGTAGAGCTATAAAACTTTCAAAACTTTAATATTACTTTTCAATAACCATTATAATATGTGTACTAGAAATATGGGGTTATGATAATATTTAATTAAAATTTTGTAGAAAAAATAATATATTTTATGAACCATTTAACTAATATGCGAATTATTTAGAAATAAATTATTTTAAGAATTAATATTAGTCCACATTAAACAAAATTAGTTATTGTACTAGAATTTTATTATATAAAAAGTAACAATTCATTTTTATTTTTATACTTACGTTTTCTAAAGGATTGACAACGGCAAACAGAAAACCACCTTCCATAGAATTTAGTTTGAAATTTACCACGATGGAGAATTCCGAGTACAATTTTTCAGGAAGGAACAACCGATACGGTGATTTTATATCAGATCCAGGTTTAATACCAAATGCTGGAAAACCATCCTCCCCGCTGTCAAAGTATAGTTGTGGGTCCTCGAATGGAACTTTAATGGCAGTTTGGAGATCATGTTCGTCTGAAAAATTATCAAAAATTTAATATTTGGTGTACTATAATATTCGAAAGATATAAGATCTAAAAGATTAACTGTCCAAATAAGCATTTTCAAATTACCCACTAAAAATATAATAGAACGGTTTTTTTTTTCATGGAACGTACATTTTTAACAATGTTGAAAATATTAATGAATAAACCTTAAGACTAGATCATGGATAAGTGAATACTTAATGTATATTAGTAATATACATGTACTTTTAGTATCGGTTGATGACTGCATACTTTGTATTTAAAACGGTAATATTTATCATTCGTTGAATAATATTTTTTTAAACATTGTAATAAAATATTTTACCAGGTGAACTCTACTATTATACGTAGATATATAAGTCATAGCAAGAGTTAAAAATAATAAGTATGCAACACTTTTAGCATATAGGTAGTATTATTATTATTTTTAATATTATTATACTATTTCTATGATCTTAGAATGTAATATTATCAAAATGATAAGTTATATTTTAACTTCAACAATAATTATACGTGTAAAATATTCGACGAAAAATATAATGTCACATTATATTTCATACAGACATGTTTTATAACAAATTTTCCTGATCATTAATTTCTAACGATCAAAATGTAGAAATATTTTTCAAAAACAATGGTACTATGTTTATTTAACATGCTCAGTTTTTATTAAACATCATTATTAAGGAGCTAAAGTATAGTTCTATAAAAGTATAAATAACAATTATAATTATTAATGAAATTTATTTATTTTTTCTAACTTTTGATTAGTTCTAACACTTTTATGTTCAACTATTATGCACGGATGCTAATGACACGCAGGATCGTTTTAAAAAAAAATAACATATTTTTAAATCACTATAAATAGTTAAAAATAAGAAAAAAATATTTTGAGTTAATTTGTTGGATAATGAAGAAAGTTCAAATCAAAGATACATAACCAAAAGTCAATAATGCTCAAAAGTTTGTGATAAACTGACATCATCAAAAATTCGATGACCRATGAAATATGACCCCTTCTATCAAAAATAGCTGATTGGCTATACAATTGGATCGAAAACTGTGGCTGCAGGCAAGTTTGACGTAAAGCAAGTAATAACAAATAGTAAACCATTCAAAAATGTCCAAAAACGGACACAATAATTTGTCTAAAACGTCATATTTCGATCTGAGAAATTTCAAGGTTTTTCGAACTAAATAACAAAGAAATGGCTATGCATTTGTAGACACAAAACTGTGTGCAAAATAAATAAGTAAACCAAGAAAGAATTTAATACATTTATTATTTTTACTATTAACCTATTAGTTTTTTTGAATTTCTAAGAACACAATATCAAAATACATTTTGTGAACCGTATGAAAATTGAACATCACATTAATTGAATATATGTCACCATGATACATTATATTTTGCTTGTAATTATTGTACAGAAATAGCGTCGTGTAATTGGACAAAAAAAATCTAAGTAAAAAATTGCAATACGAATTTCGTTGAAATAATACATTTCAAAAAAAATAAAACTTTTGTCTCTATTGGTTACAACGTTTACGAAGTACAGAAAGTAAAATAATAAGAAACTTGGACATCGGTTTAAAAGTTATAACTGTTGTTTTCTGTTGATTAGTTTTAGTTTTTTGGAGACATGCAATGTTTTTAGAATCTGAGTGAAGCAAGATATCTATAGATTTTAAAACTAAGTGTTCTCCCTTTTTTAGTATTATATACAATTACTTTTTAGAGGGTATATGCTGTCATACGAAACGTATATGTATATATGGTGTGCTTTAAACTTTCGTGTAGGTTGTAAGTTCGACACAAGCGGTAGATACTTTAAGAACTATTTTTTTGTAATTTCCTAGTGTTCCGATATTATTTTTGGCTTTCATTAATATATAAATACAAATTTGTGGAATTAGTTAAGACGAAAGATTTTACTCGAAATTTTAACTTAAAAAAAATTATTCTCTAATTCTTCTAATATAAAAATTTATGTTTAAATATGATATCTATAAAATGTTGTTTACATAATATTGCAACTTATTTGTTTTCGAGACTGAACAATTAATACTTAAACAGTCTGAAATTTCTACAACCCAAGTGTGAAAATCTGTTGTATATTATTTTCGTAAAAATATATTAATATAATATATTGTTAAAAATTTAAATTAACATAATTCTTTATTATGTTTAATTAAGTTATAATAAATGTTTAATTTTTTACATAACTAACACTACTACGTCGTATTTTGAATGCAAATTAACGAAGTAAAATATATGGTTTATACTTATGATTTATGTATAAAAAAGGTAAGTATATAAACATTTCTCATTTATAAAATATTTTTAATATCGCATTTTTATAGCCTTATTGTTGTTTAAAAATTTTAAATATATAATATGTCATATTTTATTATTTTAATAGGCCTAGTAATTACTATATAGTACTAATAAAGTAATAACACTTAAATACTCTGTTTGGTATGAATAAAATATTAACCTTTTATATACATTCATTTTTGTTATAAATAAGCTTATTTCATTGTAAACAAAGCATTGTATACATTGTATACAAATATTTTAGTCTTAAAAATAAGAATTCAAACAAAAAAATAGTGATAAAATCAAAATACAATTAATTATGCAAATATAATTGTTGATTGTATTAAGTTTAATTTAACTTTAATTTAATTTAACAAAATAAACAAAATTTGGTCAGTAAAAATTCTTTTTGATTCAAAATAATATAAAGTGTAAATTCCCAATATAAAAAGCATATATGAGTAAAAAAAAATGTTATATTTAAATTCAATTTTATACTAACAACTTATACCTTTTTTGTGTTTCTATGATATAAAAAAAATAAAATCAAATAATTGAGAGAAACACGTTTCGGATCTCGGCAGTAATCATCTAAATCTCAATACGATTGAAAATCGTTGGTAATTGAGTTACGTAATTAAGTTAAATATTGGACTCGATGTTTTTTTTTTTTTTAAAGAAAAACTGTTAGATGAATAACGGCTGATGCATCGATGCCAATTAAAATGAGGTAAATAAAATAACTAAACATTAATTTTTAATGAAATGTTAAAACTGAAATACCAATGGAATTCATCGTCATTTAAACATATTATATGACTTTTTCTGTATACACATAGAAGAATGTTCGCTAATCATAAATGGTGACGATTCAAGACAGGGTCACGTGAACTATGTTTTAAAATATCGTTCTCCAACAATAGCAGTAATTCATCAAACTGTGTAATTGGATTATTAGGCATTTTATAATATACTTAAAGTACAACGGAAGGACTGCAAGAGGGTATGCGTATGTCCAACAGCTCAAAACGACCAGAAAACGAAAATTGTGTAAAATAATTTAAGCACGTGCGTTACAATAACAGCTGACATTTACTTGGCGTCGAGCGTTKTAGAGTGGATCAAGTGATAAAATTAAACGGCGTTGTGAAAATAGAGACAGAAAAAACACAAATGTAATAAGTACAGTGGTAGTAAGCAAGTTCCAAACGATTCTCGTCATTTGATTTAAAATGCTGTATGTGACGAAAATAAATTATAACCTTATTTCCGAAATAGTACGAGACCTAAAGTGATGGATTATAAGTGTGTGTATATCAAAACGTTAAACTGTCGAATGATTTAAAATAGAGTGCCATTGACGTGGGCGGTGGTGGCTTATTCTTAGCACCATCGACACTGGCATAATATTCGTATTATAATTATAATCGTTATCCGATCATCAACAGATTATATTACACTCATATAATCAGATCGCATAATAAATATAATATGGGTACTATCATTGAAAATTGCGACAAAAAAAAATGTTTGATGCGAGAATCCGGAAAAAAATAAAATAGTTTTTATTTGAATATACAGTGATGAAATGTGAACGAAAAGAGTAAATCGTGTCCTACAGAGAGCAAGGATGCATAATGAAGATCTTCATTCATTTAAAAATGGATATATTAATTACTTAATAATTATAAAAAAATATATAGGTACGACGTTATAATTACATAGTATTCAATCGGTTTTATATTTTCATGATGTAGATACAAGTTATATATTATATGCATTTTTTTTTTTTTATCGATTTGTCTAAACGTCGTGTATGATATTTGGACATTCGCTGTCTAATTAATATGCAGTCGAGTGTCTATAGCTCGAATTTCGATGGGAATAAAAATAAAAATTCAACTTATATGTTTTTCAAGTTATAAATCTTAAATATAACTTAAAAACAATAAAATAGATGAGAAAAATATTCGAATTATCAATTTCATGACGAAAAAAAAATGTGCAGTCTTTTTTTTGCGATTGGATCGACGACAATCTGCACGTCGTATCTAAGTCCGTACATGCAAGCTATTTGGTTGAGCGCATACTGGTCATGTCATCGTACAATAAATTGTCCCACAACCGAGGTAGCGGTATTTTACTATTACGACACTAATTTAATACTCAGCCGATTATAATGCTCGGTTGACACGTCTTGACAACGGTGATAAGAAATAAGTATATGCACAGAGATAAGTTGTGACGTTTAGTTTAGTCACGCCCGACAGCGACTTTAACGGCACCGAAGTTTTGTGTAAAACAAACACGACCCCATTTGGCGTCAAATAAAACGAGCCGGCGGCAACGACTGAGTTTCGAATATCTAATTCGGTGGGTTCGTTAGGCGCATTGCGGTCTAGTCATGTATCTCGCGTAATAAGAACGATGATGACGAAAACAACGACACGACGACATTGCTCTTGCATTGCAAGTGACCCGAAAGGGTTTCGACGCATTGTTTGCGTTACGTCTTACGTATAGATCACATGCACACACGTCCGCGGCGGGCCGACGACGAATACGAGAATAATATATTTTATACTATTTACTCACCTCGTTTAAACGCCGTCGTCGTCGTCGTCGTCGTAAGTTTCCTTCTAATGTACGTATTACACGCATGTTCATCGTGTATAGTTATGTCAACATTTTTGTGGTGTTGGCGTGTATATATAGTGATGAGCGCGCGTTCCGGCGTTCGTTGCGCGACACGGCAGAGAAATAAATAAAACGAAACATCGGTTGAGATCCACGTCTCCGTCATTATATGGTAATATGTATTGTATGCATTTACGTAATTCCGAGCCCATCCGAGGGTGAGCCTCACTTCCGGTTCGCTCGTTTTCCCCGCCACCGGCCGGCCGACTATCACGCGGAGACGTGTAAGTCAGGAAATTGTCTCCTTATCGATTGTGTGGCTAACACACCACCACCGCCGCTGCCTATTGTAGCGTCATCGCTTGTTAATCATGTACAAGTCCGCATGTGCCGACATGGTGCTTTCAAGAGCGCGTCACGTGATCCTAATCCCCAGTGGACGTATATGCATACCGTAACAATATGAAATTTATATAGTTTATTGACGATGGTGATGATGATAATAATAATAATAATAATAATAATGATAATAATACGGCCTTTAAGAAGACAAGCACGTTATGTTGTGTTTTGCCGTATTAACCATGACAGTAATTTGAAATGTACAGTAAATTATAGCGTTCGCAATAAGTCGACCGATTATTACGACGTATATACCTATAAACAGTTTCTTAAAAATAGCTCAAAAATGATAACTTTTTGTTTTGTTTTTGTTCACGCGAAGTAATATCGAAAGTTGTAAGGGGGGTGCAGGACCAAATCTTATTTTTGGCTACCGGAATGTCATCTCTTATGATTATTGTTTATCACCCTGTATATATATATA